TTTTCCTCAGACAAAAGAAGTCTCAGTTTAAATGTCTGATTTCCGATTGAGTTTTTGGAGCTTGTTTGATTGATTTACTCCTATGATCAATCCTTACTCCAATAGAATGATGCAAAACCTTCCCTTCCCCTTTCTCTGTACCTTTTTTAATGTTTGGAAAAAAATGTTTGTTCATCCTTTTATTCTTCTGGTGTATTTATTGGTCATTGGGTGATTTGACATTGGATTTTATCTACAGAGGAGCACCAAGATGTTTCTCCACCCACTGTTGCAAGAATTTCAAAATCTTGTGTCCCAAGTGTATTGATGCCATCAATATCTATAGCTGAAGGTTTAGTTCCAAATCGTAGGTTGTATGGACGTTTCAGCAGCATTAGTGTATTTATTTGAAAATACGATCAACATCTTGTACAATGTATTTGCTTACCTTTGTGTTTGGTCATTTTGTTTCAGAAAATGAACGGTGACCGGAAATAAAAACAGGATCAAAGCAGAACGACCATCAGCTCTGAAAAATCATAACTTGGTTAAGAAACCTACACAATGTGTTCCATGCCATATTTCTGAAAATTCTACAAAAACCAAAAAGTCCAAGGGTGAGAACTCTCTTAAAGAAAGGAAAGGGTCAGAGATAACACTTCCAAGCCAGAGACGACCCCCTATAAATGGAAAACCAAGCTCTACGGGAAATCGAGTGTCTTTTAGTTGCCATTAGTTTTGGCACTCTTAGTTGAATGAATTACTCTGATACATAATAGATCTTCATGTTTGTTCATGAAACAGCATGAGCTTTTTTGTAACCAGGGATGTGACCATTAGATAAGTGCTCATAATTGAGTGAACTACTGTTTCTAAATTAGGTCTGCCTTCTTTTATTGCAACATCATGTGGTTGGTTTGTAATTACTAATTAAAACAGTTTAGCCGTGCGGCTATACTAGTTCCTTTCTAAAATAATTTGGGAAACCCGAGTACTGTATAGCTGCACAAAAAAAAAACCGAGTATAGCCGTAAAAAAAATTAGGAAAAATTGTGTATAGCCTATACTATTTCTTAAATTTTTTTGTTGAAAAAACCGAGTATCGCCGCTCGGCTATACTTCTTAATTAAAAAAATTAAGAAAAAAGAGTCCTCCTAGTTGCATTAGTTTATACTTTATAGATATCAATTTGGTATAGCCGCGCAGTTATACAAATAAAATACGTATGAGTTTTATTTAGCAAAATTTTGGCAAATGACAACTTAAAATTTCGGCCACTATATAATATTTTAATATATATTCAATAATATCTGTATAATACGTGAATTTTGTGTGTATTATTGAAAATTTTGTAAAAAATAAGTGAAAAATACATACGTACATGTTCAATACGAGTATTGTACGTTTGTTTTTTTAAACATTAGGAAAAAACCGAGTATTGCCGTGGGGCTATACTATTTCTTTTAAAAAATTAATAAAACCAAGTACCGCCGCGTGGGTGTACTGTTTTTTAATTTTTTTTTTTAAACCAAGTATAGCCGCACGGCTATACCATTTTATTATAAAAAAATTAGGAAAAATCCGAGTACAGCCGTGAGGCTATACTATTTCTTACTATTAAAAAAAAAAAGAATGAAAAACAGCGTATTTTAAATGTTTCAGAGTGCAGGGAGGGCAGCATTAAAAACGACTCGCCTTGGGAAATATTTGAGTTCTTTTAGTGGCGGAGCTAGGAATTCTATCAAGGAGGGTCAACTTTACATAGCTTTATAATTACAAAGAATTTAGTTTTTATAGGAAAATATATATAAGAATTCATTATAATGATTAAATTTTAATATCACAAATTTAATATCTTAGTAAGTGTAACCCAAATTCTAGCAACCTAAAAATAATGAAAGAGTATCAAAAGTTGATTTTAGATAGAATGAGAAAATCAAATCAAATCCGTGACACACACATAAATGACATATGAAGACATGAAAACAAATATAAATCATATTCATGTTCATTGTAGACAATTTATATTTGTAAGAAGGGTCAATAGTAAGTATAGCTATAAAACAATTTGGATAACATAGATAAATATAATATTTTTAAAATGTTGAGAAGGGTCACGTGACCCTTGTGGGCCTTAATTGGCTCCGCCAATGCTTTTACATGTCCTATCTTGGGGGCCAATAGCACTTAAAAAACTTATAAACAAAGATAAAATCATCCATTATAGTATATCAATTTCGTAGCATCATCCATTACAGTATATCGATTTCGTAAATGTACATGTATCACAAAAATAAAATCATATGATATGGCACATGGGACCAAGTTGGGAATGCTAACCGTGAAATAAACAAAGGTATCATGTCATACCCACAGGCTCAAATATTCATAATTGAAAGCAGACACAAAAGAGGAATACAAATACAAGGTTTCATCAAGGAAATTTTAATATTCTCAGTAGTGTAACATAAATGTACTGTTGGACAACCACTAGACCCCAAAGCTTGTAATGAACTTTAAACTAGTTGACCACATCTTTGCTCCTCTTGATTTCACAGGGCATTTCTTTCTTCTCCAAGTAAGTTCAGCTTCGCACATGCTCCCTCTGCTGTAGAGCTTCGACATACTTTCTCTCAATGAATATAGTAGTTCCTAGCTGCAGCTAGCTACCATAACACAAATTCAGCAGTTTACTTGTCAAAACTTGCATTCCAAAATGAATAAAGTAGTAATATCGTACTACATTTTGAAAATAAAAACACTCATTTCAATCTATTACTCTTGTACGTAATAGTTTATCCAGTATGCCAAAAAAGAGAGTATATATTTAAGCTTTGTGTTTTATGTTTTTACATAAACAAGGAGGGATAACTTGTTGTTAACATGATCAACTAGAAAAAATCATGTTGCTTGTTGTTCGCGTAGCAATGGAAAGAGCACATAAATATTCAACTCTTACTTGATTGACTTCAAAAAGAACATTTAATGGTGATGTATTTTAACATGCCTTGAAATATTATTATAAGATTGCCACGAAACCATCGAAAACCTGAATTTGGCATGCGATAGAATTATTATTTTGTGCTCTCGGTGTCGGTGTCGGTGCTTCATTTTATAAGTAATAAAATAAGGAAATTTAACCTGTTGGTTTTAGATTAAGCTTCTCACTCACAACTCACAAGCACAAGCAAAAAAGCAATCAAAATGGACAAAGAAAACATATAAGTAATAAAATATTTGGAAATTGGGAAATGATAAGGCTCATGAGTCAGGACTCACAAGCAAAAATGGACAAAGAAAACAAATCAAATATTATTATAAGATATTTTGTCTCAAAATAAGGAAATTGAACCTGTTGGCTTTTAAGCTTCTCACTCACAAGTCACAAGCACAAGCAAAAAGCAATAAAAATGGAGAAAGAAAACATAGCTAAACAAGGGAGCCCATATTCTGTTGGCTTTTCTACTTTATGGCATGTTTACTAATCCGGAATTGAATTAGGGGGAATTGAATTGAGGATGAATTGAATTGAGGAGGAGTTGGATTGAGGAAAATTAGATTCCGGATTCCTAATGAAGATGTTTACTAAACCATATAGATTGAGGGGAATTAGATTCCGAATTCCTATTGAAGTTGTTTACTAAACCTTATGGAATTGGGGTAGAAGTGGTCCTAATTACTAAAATGTCCTCATTTTTTGGTTAAAGTAGATGGCATATTTGGAATTTTGAAAATTGTGTGAGGATATAATGGGTAAAAAAGATGAATTCCTAATGGGTGAATTCTCCAGGAATTAGAATACCACCTCCCATTTAGGAATTGAATTCCTCCAAAATCAGGAATTCAATTCCTAACTTTGTGTGGGCCCCGCTTACTTTTCAATTCCTTGATGTGAAGTAAATGCAGGAATTCTCCATAGGCGGAATTCAATTCCTGATGAAAATTCCAATACCGGATTAGTAAACATGTCATTAATATTCTCTCGCTGCTTCATTTTATAACTAATAAACACAAACCAAACCACCCATTTCGTTTTCAATGCACCAATTTCGCTTTAAAATTAAAAAAATTAAAGAAAGAAATTACCTTGCCATCATTGCATCGGTGGTGGGTCCCGCGGTTCTCCGATTACAAGGGAAGGTACATGTTGAATTTTATAGAAATCCTCTCCATCTTCCTGAATCCGAAGGTGGAGTTCTCTAGGCATCGCTCCGATGGTTAATTCCCTTACATTAGTAAGATATCTCAGCCCATCTGGAAGCGTCGTTAATCCACTGCAACCAAAAATTGTCAATCTGCAGAGACTAGGCATGGCTCCTTCCTCTACCCTCCACTCTGTTATTTCGTGCAAATTATAAGCAGAAAGAAATTCAAGAGAAGGAAAGCCTCCTTTGGAGAAAACCAGTATCTTTGTATTCGCTTTGAAAACTTTCAATCTAAGGCTCAGAGATGTTAGGTTTGGCAATTTCTCTAGCATTCCCATTTGGTCCTCCTTGAGACCACAACTAATCAATTGTAACTTGGTGAGGTTTGGATAGTTGTGGAGCTCTTTCAGTAATTCCGCGGTTGGCCCAAACAACATCAATTTGTATATACCCCGACAGCTTGATACTATTTGCATAGCTTGCTCTTCACCACCATTCGTTTTACAATTGTTGTTCACAATTAGAGACCGGATACGGTTAAGCGTGCTGCCTGTAGACTTTAAGATTTCCTCCAAATTTTGCAAAGAGCTTGACAGACTTATTCTCAGTTTTCTAAGATTGGTTAATCTACCAACATCTTTCAAATCACAATACTCACTTGAAAGGTTATATAAGGTCTGTAGATGGCCAAGAGTAGACAGATCCAGTTTACCCTTTGTGCTGTAACTATAGGGTAAATATAAATGTCTTAATTGTTTCATCTTCATTATCACATTTGGTAAATATAAAGGTCTGTTGATATAAGGTAGAACACGAAAATCAAGAGTTTGCAAGCATACTAAATTACCTAGGGATGGCGGAAATGTTTTTATTTTGCTAATCCACACACTTAGAAACCTTAAGTGTACCATATTTCCAATTTCACTTGGCAACTCTACTTCTACTTTATCAAGACCTTCAACCTTCAAAACTCTAAGCACTTTGAAATCCTTCAACGGAGATAGTAATCCTTTTTCACTTATTGGCCTCCATTCTCCTAGGCCAAAGAATAATAGAGACCTTACGTGCCCATTTGTTTCATCTCTTGAAGAAACCAACTTATCTGCCTTCTCATCCAAGTAAATTGCAAGTCTTCGAATTTTCCCCAATTGTGTTGCCTCGGCTGCCACAAAAGAAATATTTTCTTGCAAAGAATTGTTAATCTGGAGAAAGCTTTCCTCTTTTGCTTTTAACAAACACATGTCTCGCACAAGATCATGGATTCGACAACCTTTAATTGTCCCAGTTGAACCACTTGTTCCCACTTGAACCAAACACCTTTCCACCAACTCACTCAAGCAGTCACGTGCTATATCCTCCATTGTTTTCCCCGAACCATGTCTTTGTTGTCTCGAGGAGATAAGACCTTCTGCCATCCATAACTTTGTCAATTTGCTCACCAAAAACTCAGAGTCTTCAGGATAATGACCTAAATATAAAAAACATGGTTTTAAGTAATATGGTAGGTCATCATAACTCAATGCCAACACTTGTAATACACCTCCATATTCTTCTTCATGACCTATGCCTCTGCTTATGTATTCATGAACATTCTCATACACTCTCTCCCATTCTCTAATGGAGGGTTTTCTTGCTAGAACTCCGGCAAGCACAATGATGGCTAATGGCAAACCTTTACAATATTGAAGCATCTTCCTTCCCAAGTCTCTGTACATTCCCAAGTCTGAAAAATAGGAAAAGAAAAAAATATATATATGGATTTGTAGTATGAGCAATCGTAGTGGATATTCCTTGCTCGAATGATTTAAAATTAAAATTGTGAAATCTTGAAATTTACTGATATTCTTTATCTTATTATAAGTTTGGATTTTATAATACATGCCAAATGGAAAACATTTAAAAATTAAATCTGCACCAACACATAAAACGTATGGGATATTGTTGGATTGAAGAGGAGGCTGGGAGAAAATCTTGAATTAGCTAAAATTATCGTGATTATTATTTGCAATTGCATAAGATAAATTAC